AACACGAAACCCGGAAGATGATCTCAACACGTATTCCGGAAAATCATCCAAGCTTCTCTAATGATTCCAAAATAATAAATGATGCCCCAAGAGCAACTTGAATAAATGTTCTTCGCGAATAATCTGCAACACCGTACAGTACTTGGATTTTTTTCTCAAAAGCATCGCGTTGCAATCAGAGGCATGCGGAAAATATTTCGGAACCCGTCAGCCATAATGGATTATCTTTTCTTTCACTCGGTTCCCACCTCTGCGAATTTACGACATGAAATCTCGCGAACATCCACTCAAAATTACCGTATATCCATGAAAAATTTAAAGTAATAACATCAAATAAAATATAAGAAGTGTATTATTTCTCAGTCACATGAACTGTGAGAAAACGTTTGTTAGAAAATGCAACATCCGCTGCCACTTACCTCACATTTTAAAATTTAAGCAAATCTCATACTTCGCACGAAGGAACCAAAAAAGTACAAAATAATAAGTGACAAATGTCTCCTGAAATTGACCCGAATGACCGATTTTTCTACGCGACTAAATTTTAGAAATAACAGGCACCAAAAATCCAGCAATTAAATCCCTTCAAACTTTTAAAAGTCAAATTTCCGTCAACATCTGGGTGCATATTGAGGTAATATTTCTTACTAAATTGTTCATGAGACCATAAAAATCGCCTGAATAAACCAGCGAAAAAAATTGAAATTCATAGTAAAGAAATCACCAGCTTCAAAAAAGGGGCGAATCTGACATTTTGCCAGGAGAAAAACGAACCTGGGGTATTTCTTCCGAAATAACATTACAGTAATGTACTGTATTATAAAACAAAATAGTTATGTCAAATTAAAAAATTTGGAAGGTCTCATACGCATTTTTCTGGAACAAATGCGTTTTTTCGCTGAAACTTCAGGGGAATAAAAATAAATTTTGCGAAACAAAAGAAACACTGGATCATATGGATTCGTTTTGTTTTCCGAGGACCCAATGCACATTCTCAGGTCTAGAAATTGGTAGAACTTGCGTCATTACTGGGATTGCGATCAATTCATGGGATTAGAATTCCCAGAAAACTGAATAAATACGTTTTCAACATAGAAATGCAATACAATCTCAAATAATTTCACAATAATACAGAAATAAAAAATGCGTCTTTTTTGCGTGAACACGGTAGAAAGATTTCGTGATTTCAACCGCAAAGCGTGTGACGCAAAAGAAAATGCGGATGAGAAAGTAAACTCGGCGTAGTGCCAAAAAAAAAAAAATACTGCATAATTTTTCAAGCAGCAAAACCACTATACAATATTCGGTACCGTCGGGAAAATCATCTGTGCACAAAATTACATTTCAGCAATTTTTTTCCCCTTCCTCAACCATCTACAATCGCCAGCTTTCCCTTTGGGACAGTAAAAAAGAAAAAAAAAAAAAACTGGACGAAAGAAATAAATCGAGGAGGATCATGTTCTCACGGTTTAAAAGGGACCGATTAACACACTTTCCCGTCAGTCGATCCGACTCGTAATACATACTGCGGAAATCCACGTGCAAAAATCCTACCAACACCAATTTCTGAAAAGTGGGTCTCCGCAAAAGGAATCCACACGGCGAGACTCGGGGAAATTTCTCCTCCACCTGCACACCGGGGGAAATCACAGCTGAGAGTCCGTAATCCATACACACAAAAACAAAAAGAGTCCGATCTCTTTTTCTTTCTTTCTTTATTTTTCAGAGAAAGAGAGAGCATTGCTTGAACACTCGTAGCATCAAGATTACTGCCACTAAAAATCGGCATACGAAGCATTATCCCAATTTTTGCAAAACGTAAATTTCGCGAATGCAATTCGCGTTTTTCTATGCTATGCATGCAGGAATAAACAGCACGATGAGCAAGTTGTTCGTTTTCCTCTTTTTAATCATTATCCGGTGCAATTATGAAAATGACTTTCCTTGCAACGAAGCAAAATGCTTTCTCGGAATTTTTTTCTATAAACGGTACATGGCATCAAAATTCCCAGCGATGGATTGGATTTTTTTCACTTCCCCGCATAATGTCCCGGATTATTCTGATTTTCTGTGGTGTTGCATAGGTGTCGCCTCAATTTTCTGAAATTGTCCTAATGCGAAATAGAAGTTAGGGTTGGCTGAAACAGGTCATTTCTGGTTAAATTATTCACAAACCCAATCTTCCAGAAACTAATTTCAGATATCACAGAAGAAAAAAAAATATGGTGATTCATTTTTGTTCTTGTAATTGCACTTTATGCATCAGAGAAGCATTCTTTCAGGTTGATGCACAGTACAGTACTGTACACTAAAATCTTCAACAAAAAATATCATTATAACTGATATTGGCTTGCAAGAAATGAGTTTCCAGGTCCCTGCAAAGTAGCCACAATGCCAATTGTGGGTATTGTGATACTTGTGGCTATACTAATATTTAAATGGTTTATGCGAATTTATTGATAAAATAAAGATTTTTCTCAGGTCTCAAAAGCTTTTTGTAACAAAATTTTACCATTTATGCATAATTGGACAAAGTCATACAAACAACATGACTATGGGTTCCAAAATCTACCAGAAAATCAGCAGCTTGAATTTCTCTTTCTGAATTTACTATCCATCTAAATTTTGTTTTTCTATAAATGAAAAAAAAACATTAGCCTTTCATGGATGATAATTTACTGTCTTTCTCACTTTTAATTACTAGACTGAAATATTGGTTGCAAGACTGTTTTATTCATGAAAAGAATTCAGACTGCAGATTATCCAGTTGACATGAATCTTCTAATTCTCTGGATATGATATACTGTATAAGGAATTTACGTTATAATCCACAGAAATGCAGCCCTGGATTTCCCATTCAACTGCAAATTATTCCAAAATATTACAGGATGATTCTCTCTCTGCAACAAAATCTCTCCACGAAGGAACCAGAAAAAATTGTTGCAGAGAAAAATTTTTTTTAGAAAACCCTATCGGATTTTTCTTTTTAAATCCTTATACAGAGAAAATCGTTGTACAGTACAGAAGATTGTTGTAGGCAGAGTTGACCAGGCTACTGATGGAAATGAACAATAGATAATAACAATTTGGAAAAGAAAGCGGGTGAAGTGTGCTTCGAGGCTTTCCTAAAAAAAGAAAAAAAAAGGCATCGAACGAGATAATCATAAAACGAATAAATTTGAACCCCAGGGAAACACGGTACTGTATTATTTTTCATGAAAATCACCAACACCCAATATAGCTTTTTTTAATCATCGCTTTCTATAGCCCAAAAAAAAAGAAGAAGCCATCACCGCATGCCTAGAATCCTTCCAAGAATACACTCACTTCCAACTGCGATCCTCATGGCGTTCTCAACACGTAAGGCACAACACACATTCCAACACACACCCCCGGGGAATGAAACTACAGCACGGGATTTTTCACACACAAAGCCACCGCTTTTTCCTCATTTCGCGGCCAAGACTATATATAGAAAAGGAAGGGAAAAAATAGGATCCGTGATTCTTTTTTTTCGTGTGTGTGTGTGTGAGTGGAAAATAAAAAGTTCATCACACACACAAGGGACCGATTTCACCGCTTTTCATTGTCTTCCCACGAAATCGGGAGAAGACAGGGGGGAAAAAGCATCATTTCACGGGTACAGGGAGGAAATAAAAAGAGAGAAGAGCGGATCCAAGGCTGATGAAATGATGCATTCACTTCACCGCTCGGAAACGTCTTTTGTTCTCAATGGAGGAGAAAAATCGAGAGGACGACGCCATCACGGTTATTTCAATCGGAAAAAGTGACTGAAGGCTTGTGTCACAAAACTGGGTGCTGTCCTCATATGCGATCAAACGGTTGAAATACTGTACAACTAAACATACATTTTACAGTAACTTTACCTTCAAGAAGAGTGAAAAAAAATGTGAATACGTTCAGTGAACATTTCAGAGTTCACACACACCCTCCTAAGCACAAACTTTTGCCAGTTGTTAAGGGGAAAAACAGGAAAAGATCACTTTTTTTAAGCTCATAAAAGATCTGAAAAAATCTTCCATTTTCATCTCATTTAAGAGAAAAGCAGAGAGGAAAGCGATAAAAATTCAACATGATGCGTTTTAGAAGGTAAAAATTATTTGTAAAACAGAATACATTCTAATGAGATTCCACAGTATAACTGCATGTTTCTCCAATTGCAAACAATGTTTTCCAAAGAAATTCATGTTGTGCATTCAGGTAAGTCAGATATGAAATAGAAAATGGGCTTTTCAAGTAAACCAAATTTTAGGACAGCACCCAGAATTGTTGACCATTTTGCCAAACAACTCATGTAAAGTGACTTTTTATTTACTTGAGTACCACACACACCTTTTTTCTCAAAACTGAGAGGGGAAAAAATGTTGGTGTGTCATAGGCTGGTGTACATTTTTCAAAAAGTTGAAGAAGTTCAAGTGTGCATATTATTTGATTATACTATAGGAAGGTTTATACCAATTTCAACAGAAAAACATATTGCAATGAAAATGATTGGAAATTAGTTGATTTCAGGATCAATTCATGTCTAAATTCACATTGGAGTGCTCTTATTTTTGAAATATTGCAGTTTTACAGGGACAAAAAAATTGGGTGTTTGTCTTACTCACAAATACAATTTTATCACAAGTTTTGAGACGTGTCTTACTCAAGGGCACATGGTACACAGCATTTTTGGTGACTCTACAGCTGCAAATTTTCAAAAATAATGACATCAAAATTTGGATTTAGACATGACTTGATTCTGAATGCAACCACAGTAATAGTTTTTGATATTGCCATTCCAGTACGTTTTTTACATGAATTTTGTCTGTACTTGTTACACTGGATTCAAATACAATGAACACATAAACTTCTAAAACTTTTAAAATGTATTCCCCATCCATGATGCACACACCCCATTTTTCTCTCTCAGGTTTTGAGATAAAAAAAAGGTGCGCGTGGTACTTCAGTGAATACGGGATTCAAGGTCAGAATCTGACTCATAATAGGGCAGAAGCCGTGACAGCAGCATCCACTTCATCCTGGGTCATCACACCGAGTTTCACTAGAGCCTCCAACAACTGGTCCCTGGCTTGACCAGCAAACTGGTTCTTGAGGAACAACGGGAATCCGTAATTATCGTGCGAGTCCTCTCGCATGGTGTACAATGGCACCTTGACGTGACCACACACTTCGTCATCGTCAATTTGTAAAGCGGCCTTTAAAATGTCCCGGAACTCGGATCGTGTCACTTCCAGGGCGAAGAAATGAAGCACGACGGGTTGCCTGCAACCCCCTTTGTTTTCCAGACGAGCCCCGAGCCAGTCTTTGGCTTCCAGCTTGAATCGGGTGTCGTCCAAGTTGGACTCTTCCTTCAGTTCACGCTGAAGCCCGACAACCACGTCTTCTCCGGGTTCTACAATCCCACCGGGAAACCCGAATCGCCCATCGAACCTCAGCTGCATCAGCACCAAGGCCTGGAAGAGATTTTGCAAGAAAACAAAAATTTGATTTATTTCGAAAAATAAATTCTAAACCCGGTTCTTGTCGTGAAAATACTGCATTAGGATAAAGATTCCGGGAATCATTCGTTCATTTTCATCTGTCTGAGAGCTTCATTCGAAAATTAAATCTCGAAAAGGTTTCAGGTCTGAAAATTAGGGATTCTTTCGATCCCTCTTTTCATCGGCAGATGAAATTCATCGACCAAATACAATCAATTTTCTTCTTAAGCTGCATCAGCATCAAAGCCTGGAAACTTTATTCTACAAAAAAGCTTGATTTTTATTTCAAAAAAATAAATCAAGAACTGCTTCTAGTCCTGAACATATTAGGACGAAGCTTCCGGGAGTCATTCATTCGTTTATTCTTCTATTCATCAACTTCATTCAAAATTGAATTCTCGAACAGGATTTAGCTCTGAAAATAATACGGACACAGCGTAGGACTCATTTAATCCCTCTTTTCTTCAGCAGAAGAACTTCATTGACCGAAGTACTGCATTAATAAATATCTGCCCAACCTAAAAGCTTTTCCCTCTCGAACCTCCGTGACTCACATTTTCTGGAGGCATTTTGGCTACTTTTTTCAGGACTTAAGAGTGAGGAAATTAATGCAACTTAATGATTTTTAACGCAAGTGGAAAAATAATTCGGCAAATGAAGCTTTGCCCTCAAGTTCAGCATTCTGTCAACTTCCTTCAACAGGCAGTTCTGAACCAAAAAATATATAACTACTTTAAACATTCTTTTTTTACCTTACAGTAATTCTTTTTTCTAGGGCAAGTATGGAAGTTTTTCCTACTTGAAAACCCCCAATGGCGATTTTTTTGCTGGAACATTGGAATTTGTATTTTACAGGAGACTTCAACTAGATTTTCGGAGCAGTGACAAGCTCTGATCATTTTTCAGCAAGTTTCATCAGGAAAACGATTTGGAAAACTTCCTTCAGTTCACGCTGAAGCCCGACAACCACGTCTTCTCCGGGTTCTACAATCCCACCGGGAAACCCGAATCGCCCATCGAACCTCAGCTGCATCAGCACCAAGGCCTGGAAGAGATTTTGCAACAACACAAAAATTTGATTTATTTCGAAAAATAAATTCTGAAACCGGTTCTTGTCGTGAAAATACTGCATTAGGATGAAGCTTCCGGGAAGCATTCGTTCGTTTTCATCAGTCTACGAACTTCATTCAAAAATTAAATCTCGAAAAGGCTGCAGATCTGAAAATTAGGGATTCTTTCAATCCCTCTTTTTATCAGCAGATGAAATTCATTGACCAAATTCAATCAATTTTCTTCTTAAGCTGCATCAGCATCAAAGCCTGGAAACTTTATTCTACAAAAAAGCTTGATTTTTATTTTTTTTTAAATAAATCAAGAACTGCTTCTAGTCCTGAACATATTAGGATGAAGCTTCCGGGAGTCATTCATTCGTTGATTCTTCTATTCATCAACTTCATTCAAAAATGAATTCTCGAAGAGGATTTGGCTCTGAAAATAATACGGACAAAGCGTAAGACTCATTTAATTTCTCTTTTCGTCAGCAGAAGAACTTCATTGACCAAAGTACTGTACTGGATTAATAAATATCTCACCAACATAAAAGCTTTTCCCTCTCAAACCTCCGTAACTCACATTTCCAGGAGGCATTTTGGCTACTATTTTCAGGACTAAGAGTGAGGAAATTAATGCAACTTAATGATTTTTAACGCAAGTGGAAAAATAATTTGGCAAATGAAGCTTTGCCCTCAAGTTCAGCATTCTGTCAACTTCCTTCAACAGGCAGTTCTGAACCAAAAAATATAAAACTACTTTAAACATTCTTTTTTTACGTTACAGTACAGTACTTCTTTTTTCTAGGGCAAGTATGGAAGGTTTTCCTACTTGAAAACCTCCCAATGGCGATTTTTTTGCTGGAACATTGGAATTTGTATTTTACAGGAGACTTCAACTAGATTTTCGGAGCAGTGACAAGCTCTGATCATTTTTCAGCAAGTTTCATCAGGAAAACGATTTGGAAACGAGTTTGACGGCAAGGAAATCTCCTACGGCGCCTGTTCTTTTTTTTTTTACTTCTCACAAAAATTAAAATCCGTAGAACGTGTTTATAGACATTTACGCTAATCACTTCAATTCTGGAAACACCACTTGGCATGAATTCCTCACCTTTTCCGCGTACCGTCCATCGTAAAGCACTTTCCGGTCACTTCTGGCGAAAATGAAACAGTGCGCGCAATGCACGTACGGGGCGTTCACAGCCTCCTCCCAACTCAACTCAGTCATGATTTCGCAAACACTCGACGGATTTTCCGGTGAAAGCAGGATCCACGCACGACAAAAGATTTCTCAACCCAGCCAAATGCAAAAATAAAAACGAAGAGGCGCCTCTTTCTCTCTCCTTTCCGGCTAGTGTTTGAAAGACGGACCCGGACACTGCGGCTTCCCCGGCAAGCCGCGCAAACGAAACTGGTGTGCACGAGGGGCGGCGGATGAAGCCGCCTTCCAACAGGTGTTCCCACTCTGCGCGGTACGCTAAATGTTGTACTCTGTACGATACTTCGTCTGGAAAAGGAACAAGGAAAAGAAGAAGCTACGCAGATTGGTCTAGAATCCTGTGCTATGGCACCCAAGAATTTTTCACCGCATGCCATGAATGAGCACAATCATGATGGAAATTGTTGCCACAACTGCAATATTAAAAAAAATTGAGAACATCCAAATTTGAGTTTAGACATGAATTGATCCTGACTTCAACTAAATTTCCTTTGTTTCCATTAAAATTGGCTTTTATTTTTAATTGTCTAAAGTTATTTCCTATGCTTAATTATAGTGGACACCTTAGCTGCCAACATTTTTATTTAATTATACCTGCCTTTGATGCACCACCCCTTTTTCCCTCTCAATTTTGAGAAAAAAGGTGCATGTGCCACTTAAGTAAATACAATAAATAACCAGACATGTGGACTCCCTGCACAAAAATCTTGTCTACAACAATTCACTCTGTACAACAACTTTTTTAAGGTCCCATAGGGTTCTCTCCACATATCATATGAGATTTCTACAACAGCATTTTCTATAAAACTTGTTTTCCAATACCTTTAAATTTGTTATGGAGAGGGCAATGGTAGTAATATATCATACATAATAAAACACTGTGTTCTGAAAACTTGGCCCACTGACTTTTAAAGATTGTTTTCAAGGATGGACCACCATAATACAGTACACAAACAAACATAAAAAATCTTGAAGATAACTTTTCAACCAGGGAAAATTAAGATTACTGGACAATAATATTACAAGATACAGCATACAATTCACTGTGTACCATTGAAAAACTGATTCAATACTAGATATGCCAGGGGCATTAAAATGTATTCTTTCTGCAAAATATTATTCTTCAAGATTTTTCGTAACAAGATTTAACATTACTTGAATGGAATAATTCACACTCACGCACTGCCTGGGAATTGGGTCAATTTCCACAAATCCTTACTCTTTTTTTTTTTGCTGGATGTTGAGCTGATCAAATTTTGAGTTCCCACTAGATTCCAGTAACTAATACACATGATTCATACACGCAGTAATTCGTCATCTCAGACTATATTTAATAAAAAAGGGTTTTTTTTTTAAGAAACGCAACTAGACCGGCACCGAAGCCCACCAGTTACCGTACCACCCCGGCAAACCTGTCCCATCCAATGAGACCGGAATGGAGTGGACTGACCTCAAACTCCAGCGCTCTACTCTGCGCGGAGAGGGACTACGTGAGAACGAGAAAATTGCTCCCAGTCATCTTGTCTTCGTTTGTCGGCGACGGCCAGTGGCGGAACCAGGGAGGGAATACCGCCGGCCTCCAACGTCCACCACCAGAGAGAGGAGGAAAACGCTTTACAATCTGATACGCGTGAGGAGGGGGGAGGGAAGGAAGAAAAAAACAGCGGAACACCTGACTCGACTCTGCTGCCCCCTGGAGACAGGCTTGCTCCTGCAAAAACAGGGAGAGAGGGAGGGGTTAATCGAATTTTTGGTAATACTGTACTGTGCAGTATATGCTGGGAAGGGGAGCAGTGTGTAAACCAGGGCTTTAGAACCGACCAGTGCTGCTGGTCAGCAAATACAGTAGTACAGTACCCATTAAATACAGGTGGACTCTCTCTCTCCAACAAAATTCAAGGAACCATTGACAAAATTTTTGTGGAGAGAGTTTCATTTGTGAAGAACCCTTATAAGATGGGGAGTGAACCCTACAGGACTGAAGGCAATTTGTAACACAGAGAAAATCATTAGAGACAAGAAAAAGCTAAGTTTTATAAGTTAATTTCAAGCAGGCTAGATAAAAAAAGTGGAAAATTTCCTCTAAGACAAAAACATCTGGAATAATCAGGAATGTGCCAACCGTGGAACTCAAAAAAGAAATCAAAAAGATGTCACAGCTGGAGAAGAAAGGAAAAGAGGACATTTTCTGAATTTAAGGATCTTAACATTCAGCAGTAGCACAGAAATTATACATTTTGTAAATGTTTTATGTCCCCAATGCTCCAAATTTTATACATGAGTTGGAAAACACTGATTTAAAAAATTTTTCATCAGTAGAATTTTTTCCCTCAATTTTAAAAAGGAATCTCGATCAACATTTCTTTCCAGAAAACACCAATGAAAAATTTTATAATGCAGGTCTATTGGAAAACACAACTTGACTTAGGGACAATACTCTTGATACACCAATTATGTCCGCATCTCAGGGTCTTACTGTAATTCCAAGGCAATCATAAGCAAAAACGTTCACTTCAAAAGTGGTACAATCCAGAAAAACAACAAAAGTTGAAAAGCTCATCATTATATGAGTACAGTACTGTATATACACTTATGAAACTGCCTGTGGGGATGGGTTTTGCTTCACGGTCACCTAACTGATGAGGGCATACACATGCGGGTACCCCGGGGGTTATTTCCGGAGTTCGATTTTTGGCTCATGGATCCTGGAAGTGAAAAGGGGAGTGCATAAAATGTTGGCAATCCAGGGCACAATTCTGCACAAATCCGAAAAAAATTGCACATTTATTCTAGAATAAAAAAGGCAGGCAATAATATTCTTCTTGCGGAATACTTAACAATAACATATCTTATATATCATGTCATCTTTGATTTTAAGGTGAAATTCAGGGTTGCTACACAATCATTTTAATAAAAACGGACTAAACTCCAATCGAATAAATCGAGTTGAACAATTTCAGTCCACAGCTTCAGAAATGTCAAATTTGGTCTTACTCAAAAAGTGTAAAAAAAAACTATATAAGCCACATATCAAATCATTCATTCCAGCTTAACTCTGAATAGCAACTCTTTGAAAAGGAATTGCTCCTGATTCCTTTGGAAAATCAGATAGAAAATTTAACAAATGTTGGTTTTATCAATTTTTTTCCTGACTGGAAAATCTCCAGAAAATGTTTGCAGACCAGCATAAATTGTTTGAATACTGTAACTAGCACACAGTCCTCAAACCAAATATTCTCTTTGAAGAAAGTTTTCCAGCCAGGCTTCAAGGAGGGTTTTGTGGAATGAATACTTGAAGTAATTTATTTAAGCAGGTGCAAATTTTTTGTCAAGCGTTATCAGGGGAAGAGCCACATTTAATTTTTTAATGAGATAATTCCAACTGCCATTGCCTTCCCAAAATTTCATTTAAAAAATAACAGACTTCATTAGTACCTTTGATAAATATTCTCATGCCAAAGAAAATTTCGCGCAGACCAGCAAAAAAAATTCTGCAGACCCAGCGTCAAACTGAGAACCATGGGTTGCCGACCACTGCTGTGTTACAGGACTGGATTCAATCTAGGAATATATCGCAACACATTCACCAAAACGAATTTGCTTACCCGGATATCCTCCTGAAGTTGCGGAAAGAACTTCCCAGAAACTTCTGCGATCATCTTCTTGCATCATCCGAAAATAAGCTTCAGTACCAAATCATCACGGAGAACACATACCTGCATCTCGTGACGCAACAAGCGCAGTATCAATCGGATTCTCTTTTTCTCTGTTTCCTTCCATCGTCCTGCTCCAGCAGTAATTCAGGCGTTCAGACAAAATCTTGAAGAATTGAAGCACGGTATTCCAAACGAACCTCAAAAATTTAAAGATGCAAGAATTAAAACGAAAAAAAGTTTGATGAATAATACAAATTAAAACGGGCGAATCCACTCATAAACGACGAATTTTTTAATCGCATAACAACCGCTCCCTGGCACAGCACAAGTTGATCCACTTTAAGCACTTGAATAGATCGGAGTTCCGGGGATGTTCCCACATTCCTTTGATCGGTTCCAAGCCTTGTGAGTACATTTTATGACGCGAAACCTGCTGCGTTATTAACACATCAGTTACTGCACTCTTGGTACTGTGCAAAAAAAACTGAAGAAACCCGGACTTGGATAATGTGGCTTCTGAGTCATCCTAGTTCAAGTGACCGCATGACAAAGGGGACAAACAAATCAGGTTCTGATATTTTCCATCACCTACCATTTGAAATATCTCTCCTCACTTAGGCTGGCTAATTGCTTGGAGTATCCCGGACAGNGGGGGAGGGAAGGAAGAAAAAAACAGCGGAACACCTGACTCGACTCTGCTGCCCCCTGGAGACAGGCTTGCTCCTGCAAAAACAGGGAGAGAGGGAGGGGTTAATCGAATTTTTGGTAATACTGTACACTATATGCTGGGAAGGGGAGCAGTGTGTAAACCAGGGCTTTAGAACCGACCAGTGCTGCTGGTCAGCAAATACAGTAGTACAGTGCCCATTAAATACAGGTGGACTCTCTCTCTCCAACAAAATTCAAGGAACCATTGACAAAATTGTTGTGGAGAGAGTTTCATTTGTGAAGAACCCTTATAAGATGGGGAGTGAACCCTACAGGACTGAAAGCAATTTGTCTCACAGGGAAAATCCTTAGAGACAAGAATGTTGTAGGGAGAGTCCACCTGTATGTAATGCATTAGTGTGGAATTTTCCTGGTGCACAATAAGTAGGTAGTCTTCTGCAGTGAAAAGGTCACATATAATTCCTAGGAGATCATTAGCAAACACGTTCACTTCAAAAGTGGTACAATCCAGAAAAACAACAAAAGTTGAAAAGCTCATCATTATATGAGTACAGTACTGTATATACACTTATGAAACTGCCTGTGGGGATGGGTTTTGCTTCACGGTCA